CCGCCATGGTTTGCTTTTTATAACAATAGACCTTGAAGTATTACAGGCTTTTAGTCTTCTTTAATGTAGCATTAGGTCATCACTTCCATTTGAAACTTGAGCTGCGTAAGAAAACCCTTGGGTAAATGAGAAGTACTGAATTATTTCAGGCTGCTGCTGCTATTGAAAGAGTAACTATCTTTGTGCTGGACATAGCATTTGCACAACATGTTTAGCAATGTAGGGACTGGCAAATCCTGACTCATTAAGCCACCGATGCAGTTAGGGGAACACAAAGATCTGTTTACAAATTCAGAGATCTTTACCAAAAGCTGATTTTGGAAAGTAGTGAAAATAACATTTTAAAGTGCTGTATTCATTGAGATAGAAAAGATTCTTCTTCTGTTGTTATTGTGAGCTTTTCTGTGAGGGCTTTTAAAAATTCTAGTTTAGGCCATTTTTCAGTCATGGAAGTTTTAAGTAAACCAAAGTCATAGCTATGTGCTTGATGACACTGCCTAGCTGAAGTGATATTAAAGGCAGCTGATTAATCTACATTTATTCATCAGTCTCTGATGTCCTGGAGTCTCTGGGGAAGCTGAAAGAACAAAATGCAACACACACATTAATTTAACAGCTTATTAAAATAAATGACATAGCAGATTTAGTTGGAAAGACATAAAAAAGAACCAGACATGGATGCTGAAGCACCGCAAGGTCCAAAAGAAGTAAAGTGGCTGAATGGCTGCTTTTCTGCCCATTGCCCTGAAGCAAAAAATCTCAGCAAACTAAAGCTTCAAGTCAGGCAAACTTGCCTATCTCCAAAAGCGCTCTTGAGGGGCACAGTTAAATGCCAAGCAGGTGCATARTGTTCCTGTTATAAGTGCTTTCCTTGGATTCTACAGATCGACAGATCTCAGATGTACAATTTTAAATATTCTAAATACTCTGAATTCCAGATACAAGCAGTGAATCAGAAGGGGCTGCAGGACATGGCAGTAGCAGTGCTCAGGCGGCACTGAGAGCAAGTAAAGGAATCCAAGTAATTAGGATACCTGCAGGAGAAGGAGAACAAGCCACAGAAAAAATAGCCAGGTGCACTGCCTGTTCCAAAAAAAAGAGATTTAAAGTAAAATATGAAGAACTTGGGAGCAGCAGCATGTCAGCAGTGACTAGCCATTAATGGGCCCATGACATGGGAAAGCGACCTGAAGGCTTGGAGACAAAAAAGCTGGGTAGAGCAGGCAGCTGCACATACCCCCCTGGCAGAGAGGTCGGGACATAGGAGTTGGCCGAGACTCTCCAGGGTGGCAGCAATGCACATTGTTATTGACAATGAGACTCTCACATAATACCAAGCACAGGAAGGAGTAGACCTGGGCTTGCCTGACTGTGCAGGCATGAGTCCTTAAGATGCCAAGGGACTCAGAGCTACCCATTTCTGCAAAACCAGTCTCAGAAAAAAATAAATGAAATGAAATAAAACAAAATAAAAATAAAACCTCTTTAATAAAGTAAAACAAAAATATGTCCCTGTGCCACACGCTCTAGGTGTTCCTGCTTGAGCAGAGGCGTTGCACTAGATGGTCTCCAGAGATCCCTTCCAACCTTAATCATTCTGTGACTCTGTGATAAAATCTCTTTTTTTTTTTATCAGGAAAAGTAATGCGTAAGAAGCTGAAGTGAACAGGAGTTATATACTTAAAAACAAGATCTGACTAATAAATTCATTACATTTTAAGCAAACATATCTTAAAGATAAAATAATCAAAATATTTACATCTAAAAAAARCAAACACAATTTTTAGTCATATGATATGAAAATGTTCCATTCTGTGTAACTCCTACTGCCTATCTTYCAAAAATTCCCTTGTTCTGAAGTCAGTTCAGTGGCTATTAGGCCTAGTCACTGGTGTAAATTCCATCTTGTTTATGAAAATGTTTTGAACAAAGCAATGATTGTCCAGAGTTCAAGAAAAAAAGTTAAAACCTATAACATGTTGGCATCACTACTATTTGGAGCATGAGGATGACATGCATATAAATCTCAGTTTATTGGCACAGTCTTTTATATACAAAAAGAAAGCTTTGCTGAAAATGAAATAAAGCAATGTACTCTGATTTCCCCTTTTTTTATGTGTTTGTTTTTAATGTCGTCTGAATTGGAAAAGAATCAGAATCAAATCTTAGGCTTACTTTACACTGGGATTCAAAGGCACAACAAGCCTTTTTTACATATCTTAAYTAATACAGAATGCAGGATTACTATAGAAATTGTCAGACTTTTGGGAAATTAGGCTGGCTGCAAAGGCTGCCAGTGAAAAGCCTGAGAGGGAATGTGACTTCTGTAGCCAGTCTTCATTCCATGCCATGTCAGTCACCTCTGAGCCATCTCAGACACTAAACCTYGGTCATAGGAATCTGTTGTTCCATTTTGTAGGAAAAATCCTACTATTACCATTTAGGAGAGGTAGCAGTTAAACTAAGAGGTTTCACAGGAGGACTCCTTCCCTTCTTACACACCATAAGCTGAGTGCAAAAGGTCTTTTACACTGACAGATTCACCTTTTAAAAGCAAGGACACTTCTGACTGTTTTAGCAAACCTTGACTCACAACACCTCTAATAAGAACATGGAAAGCAATCACCTGCTAGGACTTGGTCAAGCATAGGAAGCCACCCTTGTGGCACATGCACTACTTTGCTTCATGAGCGACTGGTGAAAGGCAAGAAACTTCTCCCCCGCTTCAGCCCAGATGAGGTATCATCTGCTCCAGATCTACCTTTCTACATCCATGCTGAACTAGACTTGGCAATGTTGTTCGCCATTTCCAAAAGAGCATCCCTATGGGAAATAAATGTTGGAATGCCAAATTCTCCTGAGTATTATAATAGTTCAGTTGTAGCAGCAGGAAGATTTTGAAGGTGTCGATCAGATTCTCATTCCAAGTACTTTTGTATTTGGTTTTAAAAGTTTTATTTCTGTTAAGACATGTAAGAAAGCTGCAGTGTACCAGACTCAGAGGATACCCTTTCTCTACAGTGAAATAAATCAACTGCATAAACCATATAGGACCATTCCAGTTTTGAAAGTGGAGCACTCCAATTGCTTTGCTCCAATTCTTGCATTGCTCCAATTCTAGACAAGTTGCACCAGAGTAAAACAGGAAAAACAGTAGTGAACCTATCCAAGAATCCTCCTAGGTAATTCTTTCCTTTTTCTTTTCCAGTAGCAAAGTTTTTGGCAGCCATTGAGGCTCTATGTTGTAATGTTCCTCCAAGTGCTGCACTGAAGAGCAAAAACTATAGCAATCCAAGCATATTCTGTTAAGTCATTCTACTGGACTGCAGAGCTTGTGGGTGGGATTTTCCCAAGTGAAAAATACAACAATGTCCCAGGTCCAAGTCACTACTTCTTAGAATTTTAGTAACAGCCATAAATTTGAGGTTGTCACCTGATTCTTTAGAAACATTAAGCATTTTAAAAAATTAGGTCTCAGATCAACATCCCCTCTGTACATAAATTGTGTAGACTACATGTGGTTAAGAGCTTTGTAAATGGACCCAAGAATTTTCAAAAAGAGATGCCTAAAAACAGGTTTGTAAATTCACATACAAAATTTTAAATAGAGCTATGATCTTTTTTTTTTTTAACTTTTTAAACTTCTGAAAATTGCAGCTGCTAGTCTTTAATCTGGATAAGGGATTGCATTAAAATTATTTTCTAGAAGTGTTCATGGTAGATATCATGATTAATCTTGTGAAGGCTGGAGAAGACAAAATCTGGTAGCCCAGATATTTCTTAAGAGATTCTAATTCTCTGGAACTAATAGGAGAGATGATTAAGATAATATAAACATGTCCAAGATGCTCTCTAGTTAGTTGGTTTCAGAAACATGACCCATAGATTGATATGGGATGTTCTCACTTAAAGCACGCTGTGTCTGTTCACTTAATGAACTGGTCCGTCACTGATCACTTATAATACTTCTTTTATGATCCTCCCTGTACTAAATTACTTGATATTCTAAAAAATCAATAAAAAACTGTAACGTTCAGAAAAATATGAAGAAAGGCTGTCAAAATAATAGCCATTTTAGATAGCTTGCCACCTTATGTAAGTTAAAGCAATGTATACGAACACAAGTAGTGCCACTTTGTCTACATATATAACATGTAAAATTCATGTTCAGAAATAAGTATGTCATGTTCTAGTCCAAGGATTCTTCATTTAAATTAGATAATGAATTAGTTGCACAATTCTGCTTGTGGTTCCTTATTTATAGTGTTTGAGCATATTTTTGAGCCAGAAGATCTGTTTGCAAGAGTGAAAACTATGTGTGCTAATGACCGTTGCAGGACTGGGCCTCGGAAAGCTGGACAACCCAATGCCTTAAAAAAAAAATGAAGCAGAATGGGATGAGAAGGAAGGCAAAGTTATCAGTGCAAGGAGCAGAATATGTAGAATACATTGTACAATAGAAAATGTGAAATTCACTCAAATTATCATCTATTGGCAACTGGATCCCTAAAAATGACAGTGTGTTAGTTTGGATTTTCATTTCTGGTGAGAAATATAAGCAATTTCAAAGATTTTTTTTTCAAACAGCCTATTTTCTTTACGTGATCTAGCTCTGTCCTGAATATTTCTAAAAAGGAAAACAAATGAGTCTTCATCAAAGTTTCATGAAGCTTTCACGTTGGCTCCTGCCTTAAAGACTGCGAGCTTGGTGATTAAAAGAGAAAAATGCCAACTTCTAATTTTTTTCTCCATGTGGGGCATTATTTTCTTCATCTTACTCAACAAAAGACTTTATACTCTGGCTTTGAATATTTCTGCTGTCTTTGGAAAGATCAGTCTGATGAAATCTGAGATAAAGAATTTGAATGAAAGCAGGCTTTTCTACAGCTGACTGAGCACTTCTCATAGTCATAATGATCTGGAGGATTTCAGCTCCAAAGCTCATTGTTCTGTGCTTTGTATTGGCATACGAACGTTAACAACTTCTATATTGTTTCCAGGTTCTGGGCGACAGCTAAGACCAGCAGAGCCTTCTGGAGATGCTGATGCAGAAGATGAAGATTCTGTAAGTCAGAGAGAGTTTGAGAGGGCTGTGGGTTTTTTTTTTTTTTTTTTTTTTTTTTTTTTTACGTGATTTATTTCCATCAAAAGTGTGGCAGTTAGTATTTCTCTCTGAGAATATTCCTGCCAAAACAATGCTACTCTTTATGATAACTTTCCAGTAGAAGTTTTGTACCAAGATGTAGTAAACTCTTTCTTATATGGCTGTTAACTAAGTGTTCTTTTAAATGTTCAGCTGCTTTAACTTGCCCATAGTCTGACTCCAGAAGGAAGGATGCTCAACGAAGGATGTAAAAAATCCTCTGGGATTCTTGACTCTTCCATGTTTTGCCTAATTATAGAGGACAGTACAGTTTAAAGCTACAGAATGCAGGGTTTAGCTGCATTAAGGTTATTAATTACTTTGTATCAACTGTTAACAGTGAAAGATTTGTATATAGAAGGAGAATATGTATAAGTAGAAAAAAGTGTCCTAAAAGTCTCCTAAAAACTGTCGCTTTTTAATGGTGACTGTTCCTTTCCTACCAACTCATTTCTTTCCTGCAGATTAACGAAGTGGCAGTAGAAGATATCCGGCCAAGACCACAAGGTTCCTCTCCAGTTTATGAATATCCTGTAGAAGAAGACTATTTAAAGGCAAGACACTGAGGTTCCATGAATGCATGGATTTACTGAGTTGATTTAAGAGGCTTTAGCTCCTATAAGTAGGAATAAGCAGTGTAAGTTGGAAAGATGACGGAGCAGATCATCCTGTAGACCATCTCTAGCTGGATAAAGGAAAATAAGGTGATCAAGAGTAGTAGCAGGAGTATTTGACCAACCTGAAAGACTTCTATGATAGAATGACTGGATGGATGGATGAGGGGGAGCCGTGGATGTCATCTACCTTCACTTCAGAAAGGCTTTTGACACCACCTCCACATTCTCATAGGGAAGCTCAGGAAGAGTGGATTAGATGAGTGGACAGTGAGGTGGATTGAGAATTGGCTGGATGGCAGAGCTCAGAGYGTTATGGTAAATGGTGCCATGTCTAGTTGGAGGCCTGTGGCTGGTGATGTCCCCCAGAGATCAGTACTGGGCCCAGTACTGTTCAACTTAATCATCACTTGAATGACAGGATGCAGTGTACCCTAAGCAAGTTTGAAGATGATACAAAAGTTGGTGGAGTGGTCGACACTCCAGACAGCTGTGCTGCCATTCAGCAGGACCCAGACAGGTTGGAGAGTTGGGCAGAGAGGAACCTCATGAGCTTCTATAAGGATGAGTGCAGGGTCCTGCATCTGGGGAGGAATAAGCCCAGACACCAGTACAGGTTAGGGGTTGACCTGCTGRGGAGCAGTTCTGTGGAGAGGGATCTGGGGCTGGTGGTTGACATGGTGGTTAACCATGAGGCAGCAGTGCCCTCATGGCCAGAAAGGCCAATGGGATCCTGGCCTGCAGGAGGAGGAGTGTTGCCAGCAGATGGGGGAAGGGGATCCTGCCCCTCTATTCAGCTCTGGTAAGGCCACACGTGGAGTATTGGGTGCAGTTCTGGGTTCATCAGCACAAGAGGGACGTGGAACTTCTAGAAAGGGTCCAGCATAGAGCAATGAAGATGATTAAGGGACTGGAGCATCTATCTTATGAGGAAAGACTAAGGAAAGCCTGTTTATCCTGGAGAAGGGATATTTATATATATCTTATCAACACGTATAAATATTTGAGAGGAGAATATACAGAGGACGGGGCCAAACTCTTCTCAGTAGTGGTCAGTGATAGGACAAGGGGTAATGGGTACAAATTGAAACACAGGAAGTTCCATCTCCATGTGAGGAAGAACTTCTTTCCTGTGAGGGTAACAGAGCACTGAAAAGCACCCAAAGAGATTGCAGAGTGTCCTCTGGAGATCTTCAAAACCCATCTGGATGTGACCCTGTGCCACATGCTCTAGGTGTTCTTCATGGAGCAGTGGGGTTGGACTAGATGATCTCTAGACCCTTCTAACCTCAACTATTCTGTGATTCTATGATAGGTGGCTGAGACTATTGTGTCATGTAATAGAATATAGTTGAAGACATATTACCTTCCCTGTCAAATCAGGGCCATGATCATGGATTTTCTTTTATGTTGTGTTGCGTTTGTAGGTGGTCACATTCTTATTTCTTGCCAAAAATTCAATTTAACTTCTTTCCAAGAGCTGGGATATAGAATATAATTTCCCTATTAGAACATTTAATTGAGTGCAACTAATRTAAATTTTGAAATTACCTATATCTCTTTGCTACTCAAAGCTAAAAACATAATTAGTACAGTTATATTATGATCAGTAAGTAGTTATTTGAAATTCATGTTTAAGTCTGATAAATGAATAACACATGTTATTCACCAAGATGAAAGCATGAGAAATGTCCAACATACATTCCATACAGAGGAGCTCCCAGTTTCTTAATATAATAGGTCTTTGGTGACTATTTCATGCAAATTTTATGTGCACTACAGAAATGCTCTATTACCTAATTTACTACTGGCAATAATATAGCTAAATCATACCTATGTATTGAAAATTAGCTTTGTAGGTCCTAACCTTGTTCTGCTGCCATTTAAGTCAGCTTCAGTTCCTAATCTAAATCAGGACTTTTAGCTCATGTACAACTTTTGTTATACTTTACAGCTACACCAATTCTGAATACTAAATAATTACAATTATTTTTCGGCTTCAAGAAGAAAACAAATCAAAACAGAGCCATCCACAGGTTAGTCTAAAAGCAAGCAGTTGCTTTTAGGTATATGGCTTGCAGATCAATAAACTCTGTTATGACACACACACAGGGATGGGGCAGACAAATGCATAGAGAAATGAGAAAAGAACAACTTCAGATCTGTTTTGGCTAGGAACTTTATAAATTGCCCAACTATAGCGTAGGCATGAATGTTCAGTTGCCCTATTAGGGGTCTTTCTGTAATTATTTTCAGCACTTTTTGGTCTCCTCTTGTTTGAGTACAGTACAGTACTAGCTGTTACTCTGATCTTTCTGGTCCATTGACTCTAATTCAGCTATTTTACATCTTCACAGAAAATGCAATCTTTCAGTCCAGAAAGATTCCATATGTTTCACATTTTAACTTTATGATCTCAATCTATGTTCTACACTCCCTGTGGCCCCAGTGCTGCATGGCCCACACATATGTGCTTAATTCTAAATTTGAACTGAATTGAACCTACATTAAACAAGTATATTCCCCACTTTTAGGTATTGTTTCTTGACTACTGAGAATAGAACTAAAGAGACTGAAATTTCTGTTGTAGTGTTTGATATGAATGAATAAAAATTATAATTTCACAACTTTCTCTACATTTAGGACACAATGGAAGTGACTCTGAAAACAGAAGTGGAAGCTGGTGCTAGTGGCTTTAGTGTGACTGGAGGAGGAAATGAAGGAATATTTATTAAAAAAGTACTTAAGGAATCCCCTGCTTCAAAAATATTTAGTATGAAAGAAGGTACAATCTGATTTTCTGATAAATTTTTCACCTTAAAAATATTTGGGAATGTAACTTGGTATGTATATACGTCTCAACTGCAGGTCTTTAAATAACAGAAACAGTAGATGCCAAACCAGCTAATATTATGTATGAGTTTATCCCTTCTATATGAATAATTTCCCAGATCAGTTTCTTAAATAATAATGAAATATAATTTTTGTATACCATAAATAATCTATTTTTCACTGGAATGGTGAAAAGATACATAGAAAGCACATATATATATTGTTAGAATGCAAAGAACAAATAGTTCATTATTACAGTCATGAGTACTTTGCCTCTGACTTATTTTTAGAAAATATTATGCCACAAAACTACATTAAATAAGGATTTAAGCAGGAACAATACTCTGAAGTCTAAATTCCGGGAAAAAAAAAAAAAAAAAAAAAAGAAAAGAAAATGTATTACTCTGAGGTTGATTTAATGCTGGAGAAGGTTGTCCAGAAAGGTTATGGAGCCTCCATCCCTGGAGATACTGAAAACCCAACTGGACACAGTCCTGAGCAACCAGCCTTAGATTGCTGTGCTTCTGCAAGGGGGTTGGGACTACTAGATGCACAAAGATCTCTGTCAACCTCAGTTATTCTGTGATTCTATTCTATAAAAATCATTTTATATTTTAAATAAATACTATGTAAATTTTATATAGTATTTATAGTATGTAAATTTTAAATAGTATTATATTTTATATAAATAATATATAAATGAAAATATAGAATTTTTATATGTACATGAACTAGTACACTAGAATTTGAAAAATCACATGAAAGTACAAACTAATTAAAATGTCTGCTTCTGGTTGCAGGTGATCAGCTTCTAAGCGCGACAATATTTTTTGATAATATCAAGTATGAAGATGCCCTCAAGATTCTTCAATATTCAGAGCCATACAGAGTTCAGTTCAGCCTCAAAAGGAAAGTTGTTGGGAAGGAGCTAGAACACATTCACTCCACAGCACGGCACAAAAAAGAAAGATTAAGTCAGGTTAGTTATTTGATTAGATTATAAAGCTTCGATAACACTTCAACATGGTGCTCTGTTGAAATACAGATCAGAAAACACACACACGTTCTCCTAAGACTTAGTCATGTGTTTAAGTATAGTAACATGAATATTCATGAGATGAATAAACTTCATACATATTCATCATTACCAGTATTATGAATGCTGCAGATTTTGGATAAAGCCATAATCTTTATTTAGGGCAGAAAAACATTCTTCTCTTATGAGACATCACTCTTTTATTTTTTAGCGCCCATTGACAGAACTAGCTCAGATAAACTCAGTAATATTTATGTTCCATAATTTTCAAGATGCAAAATTTAAGAAAATATTTTCCTCAAGATTTCAGTAATAAGATTTACTCTGAAAAATGTGATTAATCACTGACATCTCTAGAGACAAGCTCATAAGTCTTCATCACATTAAAACTTATCTTTCTATGTTTATGTACATATGTGTATCAGGTTGTTTATGTAAAAATAGTTTGGATTTTAAAAAAATCAATACATTGTATGTTATATATTTTAATTTATATTTGTTATTTACTTTGTTTTTCCTTACTTTCCTTACTTAATTTCTTCTTTCAGGAAAAAGAACTCACTGAAAGCATTCCTGAAGAAACACTGCACATTTCAGAGAAAAATATTTCAGAAGAAGACAAGGAAACATTAATTGTAAACCAAAGGATGGGAAGAAGCAAGCGACCTAAAAAAGATAGATTATCCTGGCCAAAATTCCAGTCAATTAAAAATAAGAAGATACTGGGACATAGAAGATCTCACAGTACATCAGATGCATATGAGCCTGCTATACAAGATATCTCCCCAACAAGCACAGACACAGAGTCTCAATTTCAGCAAGAACTCAATACCAAAGAGAAAAAAGGAAGCCAAAAGAAACTGAAGTTCCCTAACATTGGATTCAAAATGCATAGATCAAAACCAGAACCAAAAGAGAAGCAAAAAACAGAACTAAAAACAAAACTGTTAACTGAAATAGATAAAATACATAAAGAAGACATTAGCATGGAAAGTCATGAAATCTTGTCTGTTGACTACACCTCATCTTCTGTATATGAGACAAAAACAGGGGAGGTACATGAAAATTTAACAAAAGAATGGAAAGAAATAAAAAATGGCATTCCAACCCAAATAAAAAAACAACCTGAAGTTGAAATAAGCCTTAAAAAACAAAAGGAGCATGAATCAACATCGAAATTTACTGTACCAGAAGTACCAGATATGTCAACAGAGATATCAACATCTGGTTTAGAAACATCAGATATAAAAGAGAGCCCACCTAAAAAAACATCACAGGCTGCATCAAAATCCCGAAAAAAGAAACAAAAAGAACCAACACAAAAACTAGAAGGAGAAAATGTAATTAATATAGAAATAACAAATCACATGGAGGAAGAATCCATACATCTAAAAGATTTAGATATAGATATGGCTAAAGCAGAAATACACACAACAGTGAGCACTCTGGAAACAAAAGAAAAAGAGGCAGAAGATAAAACTAAAACAATAAAAATTGAGAAAAGAAAATCAGGCAATATAATGCCTGAAAGAGAAAAAACAGAAACTGAAAGAAAATTAACTGAATGCATAGGTGACATAGCAATTTCTGAACCAGAAAAAACACAGGGAAGAAGTGAGGAAAAAGATGTTAAAATCTGCATAACATACAAGGAAAAAATAGCCACTGATGAAACAATAACAGAAAAAGACGTAGAGAAGGGAATAAAAATTCAAAAGAAAAAGATGAAAATACCTAAAATGGGATTTTTTAAACATGATGTAAAGGCAGAAAAAGAAGAGCAAGATATAACAAAAGAAAAAAAAGAAATAACAAATTCAGGCACAGATATCATTCCAAAACACGTGGAGATAAAGGTCCTAACAGGCGACGTCAGCCTCTCGACTCCCAACGTCCAGCTGCCCTCGCTCGAAGGCTCCCTCGCCCTGCAGGGGCCCGACGTAGACGGCAAAGCGCCCTGCGCCGACGTCTCGCTGGACGGAGCCCAAGTGGAAGGTGACGGCCTCAAAGGGAAGATCAAGATGCCCAAGTTCGACAAGCCCAAATTTGGAGTGTCGCCCCCCAAGGACCAAGGGCCCCAAGCAGACATCAGCCTGCCCGCCGCAGACGTCRACSTGCCGCGCGCCACCGTGACCGCCACGGCGGAAGGCSCYGCGCTGGGCCTCCAGGCCGACGTCCCCGCTGCCCAAACCGACGGGGCTGGCTGGAAGGTGGAAATGCCCTCCCTCAAAATGCCCAAAGCTGACATCAAGGCTCCCAAGGTGGACATCACGCTGCCCTCTGTCGACGTCACCCTGCCAA